AATATGCCAATAATAGCTCCATTTTCATTCATTGATAGAACAGCATCTTTAAGAAAAGAAAAAATTCTGAAATTACTGTTGAAAGTTCAACGATGATTTTCGTTTTATTATCTAGTATTTTATAATTTATTTATAATTTTTTCGCATTCAGTTATTTTTTAAATATATTATTCATTACTGTGGATAATTTACACACAAGAAAAGCCTCCCCGGATTCTAAAAACACCAACGCCATCCGACATTGAAACAAAAACAGACACGCGACACCACCCATGTTAATGCAATGCTTCATCTCTGCGGATTACTCTGAAAAACAAAATACTCCCGATTCTACAACAAAATGAAAAGGATTCTCAGTGAGTCACTACCTACTACACAACCGACGTCATGTGACAACAAAGAAAAAAAGCTTTAGTGTTCACCTGCGCCGTTTGAAAACCACAAGTTTTTCCTGCAGCAGGACCTCATTTTTCACACACTCGACAACAGCTTTGTTTCTGCTGCAGGTCACCAGTAAAGTACGTTGCTCGTGATTCCCTTGGCAACCCGAACGTTCCGGGCAGTGGTAATAGAACTACTGTTTTCGACAGACCTCATCAAGAAAGACTCGTTAGGTATTAGACCCCCGAAAAAAAGCTCTAGATAAAAACTAGTAGCTTTAATGCCTCGTACCAAACCACTTGTCAGTTACACAACAAAAATTGTAAAGGCTGGAGGTATATTAACTTTTCGACCAATATCCTTCATAAGCTGTCATTAATATATGTAATAAAAGTAAGAAGTTTAATTTCTACGTACACAAAAGAATAGCAAAGGAATCACTCCCAAAGTACCAATGGAATGGTAAAGACATAGTAACAGAGGGATAATACTTTCACTTTAATTCCTCTGCTCGCGCATTTACTCTCAACGAGATAATCTCTCGATGTGGCGAGATCGGCGGCCGTATTTTTACGTATTTAAAACCAGAAGAGTAAAACATTATTTGACAGTAGCTACGAATTGAACATTACTGTAGACCAGAAGGCAAATCAACGTCACTGACATTGAAAGAACTTCACATTTAATTTTGCTGTTCACGCGCATTGCCTGTTATGATGGCGAATTTTCCAGAATTCGATGTCATTTACCAATTCAGTGTGAGTGTGAATTTTGTCGTAAATTATTTCAGCCTGCATTTAACTTGCACTCATTCGAATCATACTTCAACTATTTGCTACTATATTAAAATACTATAATAAACTAATGACATGCCTCTAGGACGGCTCATGCTAGCTTCCCGTGGTGTGGTCCCGGGTTCAATTGCCGGTCGAGGCAAAAATAGAATTGTAGCTTTCCTTTGAAGTCGTCTCAGTTTCTGTGGCTGGGTGACGAAGAAAAACTCAAGAGTTTGCTAGAAACGGTGAAGGGAATACAACGTGTACGCCACATTCTTCTCTTATCCTTTAAGCGAGGGAATTTACTAGGCTCAGGCGTGGGGATATAATATACGGCGAAAAGTATAAAGCATTCCTAGTAGAATCCTTGCGATTACATCTCTCAAAAGGAAAAGTTATAAAAAAATTATAACAAAAAAGTGTCACATATACACGGAAAATCGATATCCTTTAAAATATTCTTTCATGTCTTTCAGTAATTATTCTCCAAAACCGAAGAAAAGAGAAAAGTTAATAACTTCTGGAACAATGCAATCGCTATTCATTGTGAACACAGAATTCAATACGGTTTTGGAAAATGTAATGCAAAAGTTTTATATGTACCAATATCTAGGCAGGTATGTTGAAGTGGACTATATCAGGAAATCTTCCTATCCACCTTAATTCAAAAATGTAATGCATGGCATATTAGTATGATCACAGGTACTTTTTTTGAAAAGGACACGTCATTTACTGGACGATTACTCTCACTAATATTTGCATTTAAAATCAAATTTGAGACTTACAACTCAATACATTCGCTTCCCTTACGTTTGCAACTTGCAAATCAAAACGACTAAGACCAAGGTCAGTTGTATTGTAGTTTGACTTCAAAATGATGTAATGAACAAACGACGGTAAATGAGCGTTCATTCTATTCATTTTCATATATTATTAAAATTTGATATTTAATAAAAAACAGGTCATACAAGCAAGAGCTAAAGTACATAAGATCCACAACTTTTCATACAAAGAAATAATCACAAAATTTGGTTGAGTAGAAATCTCATTTTTTTCTAAACGTAAAAAGTCCTTGGTGTTTTAAATATGTAGAGATTTTAAATGCAATAAAACGTACACTTGTTGCGTTTGTTTTAAAGAAATATACTTAGTTTAAGAATAATAAAATAGTTTGGGTTACCAAAAGTTAGGGTTGATTAATACGCTTCCTGCAATTAAGATTAAAGTTCCAAATCTCGAAAGTTTTTTTTTTTATTTTTCAATAATTCAAATCTCCCGCACCTAGAAATCTGAAAAATAATACAATATGTGAGATAACAAAAATGTGTGTAGAAGAGTGTGCTTTATGAAAGACGTTTATCCAACGTATAACAAACGTAGCCAATAGACTGTATATCGAACTTGGGTGATTCACCTATAACAACATTTGACTGTAATTCACAAGCACTTTGAAGGGCCTACAACGAAAGGAATTGCAAAACCAACGCTGTTTTGTGAAGGATGTGGGGAACTTGTTTGGGCCATGGTTACAAATCTATTAGCCAAATTTACATCGCATGTGGGTTCTGAACAGTCGCACTTAAGCCATCGAAATCCGTATTTCGTGGACGCAAAGGTACGATGGACCTTAAGCAAAAGAAGTGAAATTCATGCAGTTTGACGTCTTGCCGCCATACCCATATACTTTTTCATTCCAAACAAGAGTTTCACAAAGCTATCGATGACCCACGTCGCTCAAAAAATGAAGCTGGGGATTGAAATGAAAATAGCGAGTTAGTAGTCTGAAGTGAAAAGACAAAATTAGCATATCTACTGTACACACGAAACGGAAACATTGCATTGCCTCTGTGAGCAATAATCTACAAGTACGTTGAAACTTGTAATCGTATTCTAGCCTTATCTGCATCAGCGTAAACAAGCATTGCTTGAAGGCTAGATCTTGAATGGAGCACGCTATACTCGGGTGTGGAGGAAATCGTCACGTGCTTGTCGTTAACAACGTCCCCGGAAGCAATTCAGCGAAGAACGTAGAGCAAGCAACTTAGCGAAGCCGTTGTAACAGTCTAGTGTACAAGATAGAGTTTCATGACGAAGCGTAAACACATAAATGACTAACACTGGCTAGTACCAGAGTCCAATTTCTAAACATTTAGGTGCATCCGCAGGCATGCGAAATTAATTAATTATTAATTAACAGTTCATTTACACACAATTAATTTATTTATTATTAACAGTTAAACTAAAGAATTGATTTTTAACAATTAAAGAAAAACTACTGGGTTTACGACGGGACTTTCAAATATTATTGGTTTAGTACAAAAAATTAACAGTCTGGGCGAGTGTGGATAAGCAAAAAATGAAACTATAGGAAAGATCTAGAAAGATGGTATTGCTTTCATTATAAGAATATTACATGTCTCATTTTAATACCCAGAGGTGACACGTCTAGGCACACAATCTCTACAGAAAGAAAGGTTGCATTGTTGACAACAGCCTCAATACGGACTATACTTCTGACCTAATCATCTAAATAGTTACTCATAAAAGTTTGAATATTAGAAATAAAAGGAATTTCAGCAGCAAAGTTAATATTTTCCTTCAAAAATATTGCGCACTAGAGAATACTTGAAATCTTATACTACTTCAAGGTTATTTTAAAACAAATAAACGAACAATGAATTCACTAACAAATCATTCGAAACAGAAGTATTCCTCGTATTAATAGCAGGGGCGTTTTTAGTGACACCACTCACTCAAAATTACAACAATTCACTGATCTTTATAACAAGTAATGGCAGGAAATAAGGGCCTGTGGAAATCAGAATGAACAGACAATAATGGAATAATATTGCAAAAAACAAAGCAAATACGATATAGAAATAACGATTTGTAGATAAGTTGTTTGTTACAACAATATTTGTTGTAAAGTGCAAAGCCGATGAAACGTTTCGAACTGTCAGAGAGACAAAATACTGTTCGAAGGACTCAGATGCATGATTTTTTTATAAACACCTAAAGCATCACAATTAATTAGTTCAACAGGTACAGAAATTTCAGACAATTTTTCAATCATAAGTCACATAACATTGCAACGGACTTGCACAGCTCTACTTCTGAAAACTACGGCTATCTGACCAATCCGATTCGCATCTCAGAATATTTACAGAGACATATCGGCATTCACACCCCAAAATTAAGAGTATACACTAACATTTAAGCAATTCAGTGCCTTAAGAGAAAATATAATTGCAAAGCAAACGTATGCCCACAACCACTTCGACACAATACTTTTGAATACATCCCGATCTATTAGCTACACTGCACATCATACGTCTTCAATTTTTCCAAACAGTTTACCAGTTTGTCAAACAAATAGTCGGCTTATAGAAAAAAGTGGCACGCGTAATTTTCATTCCTTAGTTACGAGAAGAAATAGAAAACTGCCTATTTGACTAGTATCAACTCCATAAAGAAAGTTCAGAAGATAGCCGGTATTTAGAGTAAAACACAGTGTTTGACTGCAAAATAAACAGTTTCGCTCCGATGAAAATTCGGCGGGGGAAGATAACCGCCTCCTCCCGAGACAAATACATGTATCACACTTACGGAACTAATAACCGTAGCCGTTGACGCGCCCGTAAACAACAATCAATCCGGTGAAAACCCGATTCTCCCGCAAAACGGCAATTCCGTCGGTGTGTGTATCAGTCCCTTTCCTGGCGCGTGGACTACATCCGCGAGGCTAGGCCGCGCCGGAGCACATGCCGCGCGTAGAGGCGAGGCGAGGCGAGGCCGCAGGGCAGGAGGGCGGGGACCACGTGCGGCGCGCTCCAGGTGTCAAACGCGTCGCGCGCGCGCCGCGGTCGCCGGGTCCGGCGTCGTCGGCGTGCGGCGGCGGCCTTGGCGCTGGCCCCAGGCGGGCGTCAAGCGTAGGAGCGCCGGACGCCGCGCTGTCCGTGGCTGCCGATGACTTTGCGCCACCACTCGCCGCGGAGTGCGAGCGGCGCGCGAAGACGCTTTCGCCAGGCGACGGTCGGAGCGGCTGCGTCCGTCGGCGCACTCACCGCAAGGCGGCGCCCTCCCCGCTGTGGTGGCGGGTGGCGGCGGCGGCGGCGGCGGCGGCGCGGGCTGTGTGCGGCGCTGGCGTCCGTCGCCGCGACCCCGGCCCCCGCCGCTCGCCGCTCCGCCGCCGCTCGCCGCCGCCGCGCCGGCCGCCGCCGCCGCCACCTGTTGCCCGCCTGCGCAGGGGCAGCGGCAGGGCCGCACGAGGTGGGAGGAGTAGCACGAACACGGGGCGAGGAAGTGGGAGGCGGAAAGCGGGGGGAGGGGGTGATAAAAAAGGGCATTCCACGAGGTAAAAGAGTAAAGGAAGGAAAATGATGGAGGACACGAGAGGAGAAAAGGAACAAGAGAGAAAGAAGGAATAAGTAACCATCGATCGACAGAATGAACAAAAAAGCTACGAAAATGTTTGCAATGCGAAGAGGAGAGAAGAGGGACAAGAGAAGAAGGGAAGAGGTAAGGGGATGAAGAATGTCGTGAGAGAAGGGGAGAAGAAGAAGAAGATAAAGTCTATTGCCTACAGATGCAGGAATCGTCCTGTCAGTTTTTAAAGGGCCAAGGGAAAATAATACCGCACGAAAGGCTACAAGGGAATAGTACCAAACGAAAATAATAAACTATAAGAACAAATACTGAATAAAATACAGAGGAAAGCAGTGATACGAAAATATTGCAGGCCAACGGAGGGCATCTGTGAGGTCACGTGAAAAGTCCGACGGAGGACAGTCGCCGGCGCGTGAATGACTAAGAGGGTAGGTGATAAGGGAACATCGAGCCTGGAAGAAACCCGGCAAAAGCAATGGGGCGAGCGGAAGTGCGTGAAGAATAAAGATATGGGCTGGCGAAGAAATGAATTGAAGTAGCGAAAGGAAAACACTGATAGGAAGAAAACCGTGAAGAGCAGAAGGGATGTTGGGGAGAAAAGGCGGGTGGGGGCAAATCTGAACAGAGAAGTTAAAAAGGAACAATAATGACAAGAGAAGAACCAGAAGATGAGCCTAATGAAATTAGCAAAGGAGAAGAGAAAGTGCGCGAGCAGAAAACGACGAAGGGGGACGCAAGGGAAGGTAATAATAATGTAGAATGAAAGAGCAGGGATATGATATGAAAAGTGCCAAAAATGATAAGGGTGAGCGCCGGTGCGACGAGGTAAGGAGAAAATAATGAGCCACAAATCTTGAAATAGGATAATAACGAAGAGAAAAGCGCCATGACAGAACAAGGTGGATGTCCGCAAGAAGAAATAGGGAAGTCGCAAGACGAAAATAACGACGCGGGCCGGCGTGAAGAGTCATCAGGACAGTTTCGACGGGCAGGCAGAGGGGATGAGCGAGAGGAAAGCGATGGGACGGAAACCTCGATGAGCATAATGGCGAAGAGAACAGCAACAGACCGAGCAAGAGAAGCGCTTACGCCAGCAAAGAGGTAAAGGAAAGGTGAGAGAAAAACAACGACGCGACGGAAAGCGTAAAGAGCAGGAAGACGAGAGGTGCAGGCGGAGGAAGAGGGGAGGAGCGACAGGGAAAACCACTGAAAACCGCGGACAGATGACTGGAAAGGTACCGGCAGAGAAGCAGGGGGCGTACGTAGCGAAGGGTAAAAACGACACGACACGAAGCTCGAACGCCGGCAAAGTGACAGACGAGAAGGACAAGGGGGAATCCCTAAAGAAAAGACAGACATCATAAAGGATGCACGGGATGGAGAGGGAAGTAGCAAGAGGAAAACGACACCGTAAATCCTGAAGGACAGGATTTCTTGGGGGCGTACGTAGCGACAGCCAAGCGACGCGAGACAAACCTAGACGAGCAGAAACGCGACCGGAACACCAAGATGCGTAACAAGGCTCGAACGCCGACTCGGAGGCAGAGGAGATTAGCGAGAGAAAACAACAAAGCGAGCGAAATCCTGAAGAGCAGCCAAACGGCATGAATGGTGCACGTGGGAGGGGGGGGAGGAAAACGACACTGGAAATCAGGCAAAAGAGCATGGGCGGGAAAGCGACAGCCGAAGCGGCGCGAAGCCAACCTAGGCGAGCAGAGGTGCGAAGAGTAACGCGACATACGCAAGAAGAGAACTTCTGACGCGACATTTAATATAGGAGGCGGAAGAGAACAGCGAGAGGAAAACAGCGACACAATGAAAACAAGTGGAGAGACATGAATGGTGTAGGCGGGAGGGGGAGAGGGGAATAGCAAGAGAGAAACGTCACCGGAAACTGTGGAGAGCACAGGCGGGAAAGCATAGGGGCATACGAGTACAAAGCGACGCGAGGCAAACCTAAACGAGCGGAAGAGAGAAGGGAACGGCACCAGGCGCAGCCAGTGGAGCCGGAGCGGCGGCGGGGCGGCGAAGCGGGCGCCACGTCCGGCGCCGCCTCCGCCCCGCCCGTCGCGCCGGCTGAGGGCCATTGCGGCGCGGCGCGCGCGGCGCGGCGAGGCGCGCCCGGGCTTAAAGTTAGCGCAGACGAGCATGCGCGTGGCGCCATCGCCGGAGCGCGGCGGGGATAACAGTCAAGCGACACCCAAGCGCGCCCGACCGCGCGAGGCTTCGCGCACGTCCGCCGACTATGGACTACGCGGCCGGAAGTGCGCGGCGGCTAGCCCCGTCGCCCCGCGCAGCGCCGCCCGCGCCGCGCCGTGCGCGAATCGCAAGCGGCGCCCTCGGGCCCGCCCCTCCCGCCTGCAGGTTGGCGCGGCGCCGCGCCCATTGGAGCTGTCGGCAACGCGAATCGACGGGCGCTCGCCGCGCGCGCGCGACGGCCGCTTCGGTGGGCGGCGGGCGCTCTGCAGTCCGCCACCGCCACCGAGAGCCGCACTTGGGCCACGAGACGCCCACGCGGGCTTTTAAGGCACACTTATGGAATCCCAATTGGCATTCGGGACGCTATACAATTATATATAATAACATTATTTCGAATGTAATTTTGTTTCTTTTATATATAGAAAAAAGTATTTGCGTGTGTAACGACTACAACAATTTCAGCAAAAATTCGTACACTAGTACTGATTAATCGTAAAAAAATCTGCGAAGCCAGGCATCCCTGGCCATCCTAGCGAAGTGGGGGAAGACGATTTTAAATCTAAAAAAGTGCAACACCTAATGAGCGGCGTAACATGAGAGAGTGTGACAAGTTGGGAGAGCGGAGGGCAGACGGAGAGGGGCGGGGCGTGCAAGGCGAAGGGAGGGGGCGACGGGATGTCGTGGTCAGAGATTGGAGTGAGGGGGAGGAAATGGATGTGTGGGCGGGCAGGGAGCGGATAGGGAACCGGGCGAGGAGCGTGAGTGGCTGGGAATGGGGCGTTTAAGGGACAGCGGGAGGATGACGCGTGTGCGGGAACGCGACGGGCAGAAACGGGCAGACAGGCGGCCAGATAGGAATGGGCGGGCGGCAGAACGGACGTACGAGTCCGACGGACGGAGCGGGCGTGGGCCAGTAGTCGATTGCGGGACCAGGCGGGACGTGGGAGCAGGGTGTGCCGGTGCGAGGCATGGGTGGGCTGGAGTTAGGGCAGGCGGGGAAGTTTGGGACATGGGACGGGGGCGGCAGGTTTAGGAGGGAGGCGGAGAGAGGGCTGGTTGGGGTGGGCGGGGGGTCCACGTTTTTGAATGTTTTTTGTGTTTGTTCTGTTTTTTGTTTTTTTCCTTGTTTTTTTTTTTGGTTGTTTTTTTTTTTTATTTTTTTTTTTTTTTTTTTTGTGATCCACGTTATTCTCTAGTTTTATTTCTTTGTTGTCTTTGATATTGTTTTCGCGCTTTTTCTTTTCTTTTGTTTTTTCGTATCCCGTTTACCGGTTTTTGTTGACACTCTGCCCGGTTGTTTTTTTTTTTTTTTTTTTTTTTTTTTTTTTGTTTGGTTTATGATTTTTTTTTTTTTTTGTTTTTTTTTTTTTTTCTGATCGTTTTGTTTTTCTTTTTGGTGGAAAGTAGGGCGTGAGGGGGACGCAAAGTAGTGGAGCGGTCAGGGCTAGAGGAGTGGGAAGCGAATAAGAACGGGAAATGATGAGCGGGCGGGAAGGTTTGAACGGGGAAACATATTTCCAGATCCACTGGACACAATTGCGGGCGGAGCGGAGGACAAGCAGGCGGGCATGCGAGCAGGGTGAGTGAGGCAAGCGGCGGGGAAGACGTTTACGAAAGGTGGAGTGTCGGAATGGCGGGAGTGCGGGCTTGTGGAGGGGCGTGTGGGGATCTGCCTAGCCCATCCATGATGATTACTCGAAGACCCTTGTTACAGACGAGCGTATGGCATTATCGAATAAGAATGTTTTTCGTAAACCAACCAGACGTAGAGGCGAGTGGGGAGGCGCGGGTAGATCGGGTCAGAAAAGCGGGTAAGGAATTATCATGTATTAATATTGTTGCTTTTAAAATGAAACACAACGGACTATAATGTCAACTGTTTATTCCCTTATCCTTGCATTTCTACAAATATCCTTCATTATTCAGAGATAGTTCTTGTTTTCGTGAGTGGCTAGTGCACTAGATTTCTTCTTAGATTTTCGTCAAAGTATTGACGACAACTTTTCTTGTGCAACTTTGCTTATGTGGTGTAATAATTGAATGGGTGAATGTGTAATAATTTAGGCTATATTTCAGTGGCAATGTATTTTCATGGTTTTAATGAATTGAAATGCCTTGGTTTTAATGATGAAACAATGCACCACTACTTTACAGTGATATTGACGTAAATAAACAGATTTCTCAGAATTTATAAAATGTCTGATTTTCACCCATTCAGGGTTGTTAGGTTCACAAATTCCTTTTGAGACGTGCATATTTCCTAAAGGGGCGGCGGCCTACCTAGACCCTCCTGGACCCACGTCTTTCTCGTGTTGTGCATCCCTGCATGGTCAGCGGTTCCCCAGTTTGTGGAAGTTCGACATATGCTAATCCAGGATATTCTTGAAAGCCATCTCTGCGTTTGCCTTGGATGCTTGTGACTGGTATGGAAACGAGACTTATCGTGCTGCAGTAACACGCCTTTCGCCCACTTCCTGGTCGTTTCTTTTGAAATCTGCGTAAGGTAGTGCTGGAGAAGTCCCCGGATCGACCCTATCTATGAGGATTATGCCCAAAATATTGTGTGTCTACGCTAGCCGTCTGAGAGCATTGTTCGGTTTTCTTTCGGTGGACGCCAGCAGATGGGCCTTGTAGTTGTTGCCTCACCCGCCATACTCGCCAGACTTGGCCCGTTTGATTTTTACTTGATAAGACCCATGAAGAAATCCCTGCGTGGTCAGCATTTTACAAACTTCCACCAACTGAGTGGGAGTTGTGTCCAGATGGAGGTTCGTAGTACTACACGAAATGGTTCCAGAAGAGCTTAGTAATACATCCACACCTATGAAGAGATACCACAAGTCTCAAAGAAGATACGGTATAGATATTTTTTTTTATTCATAGAGATGTAAATGTTTCTCTTTTTAAAAAATTAAGTGTAAATTACTATAATACTACCTTGTAGAATATCAGTTCATGTAACATTTGGGGAACAGTTAAGCTACTATCTAAAATTGAAGGGACAGACACTCTACACTCAGAATCAATTACTTACGTGTTCAAATTTTGTGATTTTCAGATAGTGTTTTCAAGCGAATTCTAGAAATAAGTTCTGGAGAATACACGCTTCGAAAACCATAATGCTAAACTCTTGAAAAGCAGTAGGAACTATAAAACTGAAATAAATGTATACAATTTTGAATGTTTTAATTCTTGAGCACAATACTACATATTCTCGGACAGATAATTTATATATTTTTCTGAAATAGAAACATTTTACAGAGAAGCATAGCCTTCCACTGCCGGAGTCAGTATTTTCTTGGCTATCCGAAAGTCGCTGAATGCCAGGCACATATGCTAATGTGTCGGTCGTCTTGCTGTCATCTTCCTGAAGGTAAAACATTTCGCCCTGAGGAAGGTCGCGGCATGGTGGCCAAAACGTCGGCGTCTGTGCCTAGAACTCCCGTACAGCCGAGTGAGTAATACAGTGTGATTCAACACTACTGCATTCTAGGACTTCTATTCAGCAAGCAACATCACTGAACATTTCACCAATGGTATCGATACAAAGGGAAAAAATCAATATATAGGCATTTTGAAGTCCAAATTTATTACTATGCATACCTGTGACTTAAAGCGAACAGATTTGCCAGCTAGTAAGCGTCCACTCAAGAGGCTCCATATCGCTGGAAGCCCTGTTAAACTGCGTGGCCGCTGGAAGCCTCTAATGGCCCCGGGGCAGAGGGGAGGTGCACGAGGAACGCCTCCCGGCCACGCACGGGCGCCGCCTCCCCCGGGGCCTGACCCGCCCCCCACCCCCGAACAGCTCCCGCTCGCCTGCGCCTGCTTCCCAGAGACCACGCGGCGCGTTGCCTCAGTCCGGCTGGCACCCCCACGCGCCCGAGGACGGGACACAGGCCTCCATTTGTTAAGCTTTGTCGACCCAATAACAGCATATGGACGAGCGACGGACGACCTGCCTTTACGACTTGCCTATTGCAAAACTAGTGGGGCTACAGCAGTACATATTTTCTCATATTATTTGCAATGGTTTCGTAATTTAATTCTCCAACTTCCATCCTACTAACATTCAGTCATCATAAGAGAAACGTCATATCAAACTCAGCACCAAAGGTTCGATAAAAATACTTATTTTTAATATTTTTGAAAATTCAAAGTTTGAGTAAAATTGGCATTCTACCATTGAATTTACGATATTTTGCTATATCCTTACAAAATTTAAAGAAATAGAAACATAATATGTTTCGACAACGATTTGAACCTCAGCGCGTAAGCTTTAACTACTCGACTAAATACTGTATCGTTTGGATACCTGTGTATTACTGATTTTTGCTATTCCATGATTGTGGAACCAAACAAATTTTGCGCATTGTCTTTCAGAACTACTCAAATTAATAACAGATCTACTTCGAAAAACGAACATAAAAATGTAAAGATCAAATAGCATGAAATAGTTTTAATAATAAATTTGTAGGATGAGTTGAGATTTTCATTTATACAATTTACGAAAACTTATATGATCCTTCCCCACTTTTATAAACGAGCTTTGCTCCATTCGAGTAAAACGTTTAAAGGAAAAATTTTAAAGTTGTTTTGACAAAATTATATTTACTTGAATTCTGCTCTAATTGTGCCAAGAAAAACGTTTGCTTGAGTGCTGAGAGTCGTACAAGTCATATGCACATTCCCTGAGCCAACCTCTTACTGAGGGAAACAGAATGGGGAAATGGCTGATGTCCATTAGTATTCGGACGAACACATCTGAGGAAGAGAGTTGCGAAACCTAATTGGATATCGAGGTGTCCGTGATGCTACGTCTAAATTTAAACCAATACATTTTAACGTTCGTGTATTAATGAGTATAGGTAGTAATTCAATTGATTTTAATAACTGTTTTATTAACTGTTAATAATAGAGCATCGGTGTTAACAGCAGGGAAAAACGACAAGAA